CTCTTGCTCTCTGTAAATAAAGCAAAGCCACTTCCTCGTCCAACATTAAACAGAGCCCGACAGAGGAGGGAGGGGCGGGGAGGCTGTTGCCGTGCAGCGCTWYAASAGCTGACCTGCGTCTGACCTCAAAGTGCACAAGCGACCAACTTCAGCGTTGGCTGTGATTTTGGAGCTGAAATCGCGTTTGGTGTGAACGCAGCATTACAACAGCTAACAAAACAGACTGTAGAGAAGAATCTGATGTTTCTTTAGATTATTTTTAGTCTTTGTCAGAGAAACGAAGAAGAGTTGGAGTTTAAATAATATTGTTAAGAAACAAAAACCAGGGAGTTTGTTTACTTAAAGAGTTCCCCTTTGATGTCACTTCCTGTTTCACTTCGCTTGAGCCAAGATCAAAAGAAAATACATCAGTTTTGTGACAAAATGCCAGGTTTTGTAAATTTTAATGTTTTTTTTTCTTTTTGCATTTGAAAAATATGCTTGTCACTGTTTCCACCACAGCATTTCAGTCTGGTTGTGTTTTTCAGGTCATCAGGTTTACTTTCTAGGTATTCCTTATGATTTGTTGTGTTCAGGGATTCTGTTCTCTGGGTTTTCAGTTTCTCTTGTCTGTCTCTGCTCTGGCCCCGCCCACTGTCCTGTCGCTCCCCAGGTGTTTCCCATTGTCTGCTTGTTAGCGTCTTTTCTTAGTCTTGTCTCGTGTCTGAATAAACAAAACAGGGACACTCCATTGTCTAATTTTATTCTACAACAGTTGGGTAATGTTACTTTCAAGGTCAAGTTAAAATACAGAATCTAATGGGTTTTTTTGTGATTTTTATAAACAGATCTGTAAAATTACTTCAACAGAACACTTACAGTGATAGAATTTCAAATAAAATAAAAACTTATTTTGTTACATTTCTGATGTGGAACAAATAAAACCAATCCAACCACACAATAAACACGGAAACATAACCTTTTTGAGGAAATGGATTATGTTTCATATTGTGGTTGACACACGAGTTAAAAGCCTTGACATTTTCTTCCTTTTTCTTTGTTTTTTCATTTTGTTTCCTCAGGAACCAAAAGGAAATAAAATATTGCAGCGGTGGATTCCACGGCTCAGATAACCTCTTCACCAACATGCAGGTCAGAGGGAGGAAGGATGAGTGTCGATGGGTGTGTGTGTGTGTGTGTGTGTGTGTGTGTGTGTGTG